CTTCACATGGCAGAGGTCGGTTTTGACTTTTCTGCTGGCGATCCCAGCTGGTATGGGACAGAGGGGTCGTTGCTTGAGCCTAAGGCGTGTATTTACACTAAGTTTATGACTGGTTTGCTTGACCTCAAGCCTACTGGCCTACTCACACACCGTGCACATCTCATGGCTCACAAGCCATGCAACATCACACACCAGATCATCTTGAGTTGGTCGGAACTATTTGGGTCAATCACGGTGAACACGAGTTCAAACACCTGGCGCAAAAAACACTACAGTATAAGTTCCAGATCGGTGTTCAATCCGATGTTTTGTTCAATCCTCTCTTTGCTCAACAAATCAGACTACAATCATCTTCTGGCGGAGACTTCGTGGGAAAAGCGGAGGATTGGTGGAATTCACTGAAGATCGATGCGCCATTTCAAATGATTGGTGGTGGAATCCCGAAGATTTTGTGGAAGTGTCCAACTGCACCAATCCAAATGAGTTTTTCTTTTTTAAATGGTGTTGGACTTCCGATGATATATAAAGTTCTTTGTTTCGAGAACTTCCAAACTCGTGCGGAGAAGAAAAGAGAAGTCGGACCAGTGGAAGAACTTGCTTTCACCTTTTATAGGGGCACCACACTAAAGAACAATTTGTAGATTCGGTCAGAAAGGTGCGTGGATTAGCCAACAAGTGAAATATTGAGTCACCGACAACACGTGCGTGAGACAGATGGAACAAGTGGAAGATTCGGTTCTCCTTTTCTTTTGGGGATCGAACCGGCCAACCGGGAGAACCGTCGAGCTCGAGGCCTTCCCTACGGCGCGATGAGGATGGGCAGTCGGGACTGGAGGGTGAAGAGGAGGGGTTGCTGGGGCGTTGGATGAAAGAAACCTTTGAGATAGCGTTGGATGGGCTGAGACAGCCTGGGACAGCCTGGGAGACCTACCCCACGGCCAAAGCTCCAAATTTCCGGTACAGATCCTTTGAGAGAGACAGCCTGGGATGTCGGATTCGGCTGCGACAGAAGGAGGGGACGGACGGAGGATGGGTGGAGGATGGTGCCCCACGACATCGAGGGGTGTCGGGGTTTCCGTTTCATGGCCATGTTCCGAAACGGTCGAACGAGATGTTCGGCCAGGCCGATACATCAAATGGGTGAGAAGCAAGTGGATGAGTGTGGCCCAAAAAGCCACATGAATCAGGACCGCCAGATTGAATCAGGATCGTTAGTAGCAACATGAAACGCTTCAAGTGGAGCTCCATGGCCTCATGCTCAATGTGCATGTTCTTTCCCCGCCTGAGGTGTCCTCCTTGGCTGTTGGCCCTCCAAGCGTCCAAGAGGGCGCAAAACTTGAGTACCATGACAGTGGTCCCCAAATAGGTACACTCTGACTCGTTAACATGGAAGTGGACAATGATCCCCTTGGAAGACTACGTTCCTTTACGAACAGGAGCTTTTCCACTTCCATGTTGGTGAGTCGGAGTGTAGTGGCACGGTTCTCCAACATTTTGAAAGGGATTGTATTTTTCTATCGATTTCTGTTGGGGATCCGAAAAGCCTCTTTGGGCATCCCATGAAACATACTTTTTGTTCACAAGAGAGCCCTTCTTTGGGCATTTGAAGATCTACATGGTGAAATTGGCTTTCTCCGCCCCCCAAACGCCCAACAACTGGGTGGAATCTTAATCCTTTCTGCGTTTTTTCTCTCCGCCCGCCTTGCGCCAGATGGAGAGGGATTGGACGAAGATGTGTTTTTTCTGCCCACCTCTGAAGCGATAGATGATGAAGCGATGCGGGAGAGGGGGAGGAGGTCCACATCCTCGAGGAATTGCCCCTGAAAGAGCGCAGTCCTCCAGTTTCAGACACTCCGCAACTTGCTTGGGCTGGGGTGGAAAGCAAAGACTTTCGTTGAACAATTCCACACACTCCTTGAAATCATCATGGAAGTGGAGCTCACCACCTGTTTGGTACTTGATTTCATGCATCCAAGGGGCCATGCCATTCTTGGGGGCAGCAGTAGTTTTGCTGGGGTTTGTCCTTCTCAATTTGTTTTCCTATCCACTGGCTTTCTTTGTATGCCCAATACCTTGCTTGGTAGATGCTTTCGGAAGTGCCATGGCCGAACGAGGAATCACTGGAGAACGAGGGACACTTCGGAGCCTCCAGGGGCGAGCCTCTCCGTGATCCTAATTTGACGACCTGTCTTAGGAAGTGCCATGGCCGAGCTTGAAACCATGAGGTAGCTTTGCTTCTAATCGCGATGGCGATGGCCTCCCCCGGAGGAGCTTCTAAGAGCACACTTTGGGCAAGACGGAAAGTATCCGAAAGTGCTATGATCTGAGAGTGCTTCATCACATCACTTGCTGTGGAAACGGTGCATGACGTGGAGTAGCACGACTTCACCGTCTGACGGAACCGTTTAAACACAGAGAGAACACAGAGAGAACACACCCGACCGGAGGAGTCCAGTCCACCATTTTGAAAACGGTCGTTCTCGGTGATCCGAGTGAGGAAGGAATTTTCATTTTACTTAAGGGTGGTGCCCCAAACAGTCGTCGTTTCCTGGACTTCTAGGGCGTCCCTATGAGACAACGAGCAGTAAGCGACCTGCCGGTTTTCCGGTTGCTGGTTTAATGTTTGCTGGCCACGGGCCTCGGTCCTTCGTTGATTGCGATCCTTTGGCGCCGAGTGTTAACAGTGTTATCCTTGTGCACGCGTCTGTCGATGAAGAGTGACATGCGACTTTGGTTGCTGCCCATATTTTCAGATGCAGGTGAATGAGATGAATGGTTTCAAGGATGGCCATGGTGTACATAGTGGCTCAGAGATGCTCAGAGTGATTCTTCCTCGAGACCGAGCGAGATGACCGAGATACCGGTCCACACGGCCGCGATGCAGCCCTGAGGTCCTGCACTCCCAAATGGTTGGATGACCATTTTTCAGGCAGGTGTGGTCTCACTTAGTTAAGAACCTCTCATAGTTCTTCTATCTTCCCACCATTTCTGTCATGGACATTTGTGGAACCACAGCCCAGCAAGTGATACTGTTGATGATCAGAACTCCACCGCAGGTTCATCTCTAAAACTAAAACCCTGTAAATTACAACGAAGAAGAGCCTCTGAGAACGATGATGCAGGTGTTGTATGTCGTGATGCTTGTTCAGGTTCCTTACGCTTCACAGCGAAGGCGGCATTCAGCGAACAGCGAACGCTTCCGAAGCCCTCCGTGTACCGTTGCGGGACGCCCTCCGTTGCGGGATGGGCAGACGGACGCGGAGGACACCGGTCGGGCGCGAAACAGCACCTGCGGCGCTGAAAAAAGGCCAGGAGTCCCTAATTCCTAGTAGCGATGCCAGGAGCCCCGTTCGTAGCGTCCTTGCTCCTAGTAGTGCCAGGGGCCCCTAGGTTGTGGGGCGGTGTTCGGCGATTCAGCGCGAAAGGAGGAATTGATGATCATATTAAGGTGGGGATGGTCAGCATGAACTGGACAGCGTGTCAGATGAGAGGATTTCTTCGGCTGTTGATGGCTACAATGTGGTTGCGTCGGGTTGGGCTTTGAGCTCTCCCAACATCAGAAACATGAGAGAAGGAGGGCAAAGGCCTCGTGATCAAGGATTGCACAGCATGTGATTCTTTAGCTGTTTGGGTTGCACCCAGTTTGCATTGGGAAGAGATACTTTTCCTGGAAGATCTGATGGACTCAGAGGAATGGGTGTTAAAGCCTTCAACCCACAAACTGCGGGGTTCAATGGCTGAAGCGACCAGGGCGGAAACAAGTTCTTGGAGGGCTGGAGTGTAACAATGAAACTAGGAAGAGGCTTGGAGGAGACTCGAAGGCCTTTTAGATTGATGATTGGATGGTGAGTCGGGTGGTCCAAGAATTGTGGCTCCAGCCTATGAATGTAGGCACGTCGGCACATATTACTATATAACCGCCAATGGTTCTTACCCTGGGAGTCCAGTCCACCATTTTGAAAACGATCGTTCTCGGTGATCCGAGTGACTCGGAATTTTCATTTTACTTGAGGGTGGTGCCCCAAACAGTCGTCGTTTCCTGGACTTCTAGGGCGTCGTTTCCTGGACTTCTACACGTTGGGTTGACATCAACCAACAGTCTGCCACAGTGCACCACGTCCTGGGCCGTGCGGTGGTGCACCACGGCCATGCGATGCGTCGATCGATTCGACGACTCGGTGGCTCGACGGCAGCAGAAGGTCACGGGAGCCGACGTGAAAACGGAGGGCGGCGGTGTAGTAGGTACTGCTAGTCTAGCTAGTAGTATTTTTTTCCCGAACTGGGTGAACCACCTGCATGAGGAATAGATGAATTATTCTACATCATTATTTCGCTGGATCTACAAATGGCCCAAAAAAGATTGTCCGTACAGCCTTGCCCATTTTTTTAAATGACGACTTACGGCCATATAGCAGAAGATTTAACTTCAATGGTTTGCCCGTATTTCTTGACCATTACATGCCATGATGGGTTGCGGCTGAAAGCGGCCAGAAAAAGTAGCCGGTACTGAGTATATATACGCATAAAAGAACAATTTGGCCAGACGCACATAGAGGGTATTATATGGTTTATGTTCTTTTTTTCCAGCGATAACTTGGAACTTTATGTTTGCCCAATTCCTCAAAGTCCAAGATGAGGATCTTGAAGATGAAGTCCAAGAGCGATCCAAGTGCCGAAGGCAACGCCGAAGCCGCGGTTCAGCCGCCGAGGCGACGGAACGAGAGGACGTGCTGCAGATCGAACTCCTGGGCTTGGATGGAGCAAGCTTGGTGATCCTGGATGTTCTCAACCAACACCGCGGAGTGAAAGGGTGGTGACCATGGACGCCCCTTTTTCTATGTATTTTCGATCCAATCACCACCCCTTTCGCGGTGCTGGAAGAATAGACTTTTCTTTTCCCGCAGAATTTGGCTTGAACCGTTTTTGGGTTCCCAGCAACTTGATATTTGGCAAGCTCTGATTACTTCACCATATAGATGATACGCATGTACAGTAAGTCAAAAATTCAACCCTGCGTTCTTCTCACCTGTGGCCCCCCCAAAGGCGCGGAGCAACCGGCAACCCACCCGTTGTTTCGGCCCAACAACCGGGTTCGGCACATGGCCGGTTTGGACCCCCTTTCGTCTTCGTCTTCCTTCGTTGCCGGGACCAACGACCCGGTCGTCGGATCGACCGAGCTGGAGCGGGTCGTCGGTCGGAGTGAGGACGGTGGCGGGCCAACCAGGGTGGTTTTGGCTTGAGGAAGTCATGCCTTGGTTGGCATTGGTTGGCATTGGTCCTTAGATAACGGCGATGGTCTGACTCGGTGTTCCCTAGGATGGACAGTGATTGACTTCGCAGAATGATTGACTTCGAAATGGACTTCGGATGGGTATATGCACTCTGCTGAATGCATCTCATGGAAGTGGATGGCATGGATGAACATGGGGGGTTCCACTTCATGTGAGCGAGTCCTTGTGTAATCCCTTCCTCCAACCGTGTGATTTCGATGATTTCGTGGTGAACTCTTCCCGCCTCAAGATCCCTCCGAGGTTGAACATAAAGCATTCAGGATTCTTAGAATTCGGGGGAGAATTCTCCACGGTTTTTTGTCCTTATACTGCAGGTGGTGGGTGGCCTCTGCCACCCAGCACCGTGGCATCAAGGTGTTGCAGGTGCCCCAGTCCTTCACTGGCAACGAACTCCGGGATCAGATCATCCAGCGCTTGACGTCGAAAGCTGGCACACAGATCTCGTTGCAGAGACTCTGATGAGACGGGTGGATGGTTGGAAGGAAAGGTGTTTATGCGTATAGTAGGGGTGTAACAGATGGAGTTGCTTTGAGGAGATGTGGGTGTTGGGTGGAAGATTGGAATGTCTCAGGTGATGATAGTAGTGAACTATTTGGCCGTTTCTTGAAGTCCAATCTTTGTTCCTCAAGAAACAAAAGCTTGCCTAAAGTGCGACAACGACCCCGGTGAAGGTGAAAAAGCTCATGCAATAAAACATGTGGCCAAGCAAAACTTGGTAGGTTGGAGGCCATCGCAAGTAGGTAGGAGGCCATCGCGCCATCGCTTCTAGGTTGGTGGCCATCGCTAGTAGGTTGGAGGCCATTGCTAGTAGGTTCAATAAAGTCTGGCAAGTGGAGAATATCGTTCCCGTCAAGCCCTTTGGGGTCAAGGTGCATGAATACCTATGAAATCATATGAATACTATCAGTTTAACAGGCGCACTCATGGGTCCTTGGTTTGGAGGACAGTCATCTCCCAAACTATGACTCATTTTTCTGGCCTTCCCTTCGACCATGAACAGACAGGTTGACGTGGTTCAGTCGTCTCAAATCCTTGATTAACAGTTTCTTTGGTCAAAGCCGTGTTCTTCGGATTCCTCGGGACCATCCAAGGATCGGATCCGAGATGCTGTCGATGACGAAGAGCTTGGAAGAGCAAAGGGAGATCTTTGGTCGCCCGAAGCATAGGTCCAGCTGTGTAGCAGGGGAGATGTTCAAGGCCCAACGACCCAGACTGGAAGGAAGGGTTTACTCGACCAGTCTACCCAGCCAGGGTCAGGAGACCTCCCTCTAAATACACACCTAAGAGGATCGCAGAACGGCTGCCGGTGACGGTCAGCTGAGTGGCTCGGGTGCGGTCAGCTGGTCAGCTTGAGGGGATGTGTCCTGACAGGTTCTCAATTGCCTTGTGTGTGTCATGACCTGTAACAGTCAATCAAAGATTATCACTATTTTTGAGAAAGGCCTTTACTAACCATCATCATCCACTGTTACAGGGAATGGGATACACCCAACAATTGCCAATAAAGTCAGTTTCGCCATGCTCATTGAACACTCACCCTCTCCTTGGTGTAGCCCTAATTAGTTGGTTGGCTAACCCTTGGCAGAGAGCTTGTCTGTAGCTTGGTGCAAGCCCCCTGACTCTGCATTGCCCTCCATGTCCCAAGACTGGCTGTTGACCCCGATTCCGCCAACCCACGTACGGGAACCGAGTCGCGCCCGTGGCGGCCACGCAACAGCTGTGGCCCCGGACTTTGGACGCCCCCCAACGACATGAATTCCAACGTTCCGTCGCCTGACAAGATCGAAGGGGAACGCCCTGCCGTATTGTGACAGGCGAGACGATGTACGGCACATCACCACATCATCCTAGGGTTCGTGGCCTATACGAGTGAATCGCCTACAAAAACCGAAGAACACGATAGAACACGTGGCAGGATTTCACACGACATTTCACCAGGTTCCTGCACCCCATTGGTGAAAAGGTCTTGGAAGGCCACGAATGGAGATCTGTCGATTCGATGTGTCATCGATCGTGTTGGTTCCGTCACGTGACATTCCGCCGCGACGAGACGCTGAGGCGATAGATGTCGCGTGAGCTATGTCTATGTACCCATGAATATGCTGGATGCCTGGACCTGTCTCACGGTCGATTCTCCCGAGATCGCTGTTTCGGAGCACATGGGGCGGCACGCCAGCGCCTCCATCGAGGGGATGACGTCCATCGAAGGGATCAACGGTCTACAGCAGCTGAGGCAAGGAAGACCGTGGGCAACCAAAGCCGGTGGACGGATTGGACGGATTGAATGGAAGACAAATGCCATGGAATCCAACAGTTCTGACGTTTTGACTTTTGACCGAAGAGGAAGAGGAGTTGTTGGTCCTGGTTCTGCATCGGATATTTTTTAGATATCAACCCCAAGTCTGCATTTAGGCGTAGCCGTGGCATGATCTATAGCTCGTTGGCTCTATCGTGCTGCCAGCCTCTGTTCGTTCGGCATTCTAGGATTCTATGGGTTTTGGTTCACTAGAACTATACAAACCTGGACCATCCTCTGGGTGTCCTGTCGATCCCAGATAGCAATGTAGGGTAGGCCAGGACACCCAGATGGTCGGATGGTCCTGGAACATGAACAAAAACATGTGGCACCGGAGTCCTTTCGAACGGGATCTGACCAGCGAGCGATCGCAACGCCGTGTGTTTGTTTCCGCCGCGGCGAGTGGGGACCACCGGCGTCTTCCCAGGCAGCTGCCGAAGAGTTTGGTGAGCTTGGTCATCGGCCATGATTTCAATGAGAGCTCCTTGGCTCCGCGAAAAACGCCTCTTATGTCACAGCACTTTTGCTGCAGCATGGAGAGCCATGCTTCGTGTTTTTTCCAGAAGACTCGGGGTCTCAACAAGGGACGGAGAGACGTTGATTTTTTGAGTGGTGGATGTAGGGATGTAGTGTTAGTGATACTTTGCAGCATCCAATTTCCATATATTTGATGGCTGTCACCCGGGTCATTTGGGACACTGGTTGATTTGGTCCTCGATTCACGGAGCAAATCCACTCGTGCCTTGGACGGGACCCCTCCAGACCCCATCCACGCAACCGTTCAGCGGATCCACGACTCGGTGCACTGCGGTCAAATCGGGTGGATGTGGATTCTCCCGGTGCCGGAGAATCTCCCGGCACCAGTGGAACTGGCGGAAGGTATCGCTTTTTGTCCCAGTTCCCAAGAGCTGTTTCCTCGACCCGAAGGTATCGCTCGCATGGCGGGTTGATCGATGGGAGAGTGGTTTTTCTCCAGGTTTGGAAGCTGAGCAAATGCCCAGCTCTTTGGAGTCCTTAACCCTTGGCTTTAGTTTCAATCAGAGCCTGGAGCGAGTGGCTTGGCCACGATGTCTGACGCTTGTAGTTGGAGAACAGCAGAATTCTCGTGTTTTTTCTTTTTTTGTTCTTTGAGTTTGTCTTAGGGATGCAGAGGTCAATACAAAGAGGTTCCTCATATCAGGTTGTCTTCCTTTTTGCATCAGATAATACCATTGGACCAGCGTAACTTTTTGTCAATCGATTCGTAAAACTATTTCGGTTTTACCAGCTATCCTCCTACACGACATGGAAGCGGACAACCCCCATTTTCCACTATGTGTTTGTTGGAGGGAGGGTACTTTGTCTTTCTGCATTGGTTGTTTAGTCAATCTCTTGGACATCTCGGACCGACAAGTCCTCAGTCCTCACATGAGTCCTCAGGAAGACTTTGAACTTTGGCTACAACTTCAACCAAAGTTTGGATCGAGTGCATTTACCGATGTTGGAACATTTGACCTTTGGCTTTTCCTTCAACCAGCCCTTGCTGCATGTGACCTTCCCGAAGAGCTTGAAGAGTATCACCTTTGGTGTGCGTTTTAATCAGTGCTTGAAGAATGTCATGCTGCCGGGCTCCTTAGAACACCTGACGTTTGGTCATTATTTTGACAGCGATGTGGGTGACATACATCTTCTGCACGGCTTGAAGAGCTTGACCTTTGGCGATAAGTTCAATCACAGTTTTACGTCGACGCAGTTTCCCAACTTGGAAGCTCTCAGGTTCGGCTGTTGCTTCGACCAGCCGCTCAGTGAGTTACCTGCGAATTTGAAGAACTTGACCTTGGGAAACGACTACTACACTCACTTGGAGCATGGGAGTTTGCCCCAGAATTTGCAAAGCCTCACTTTCGAGGAGGTGGGACATCGCCGTTGGAAGAAAGTGCACAGCGGCTCCATCTGCCATTTTTCGGATCGGAGATTCACGTGGCCAGAGAAGCTCCAAGCTTTGACACTGGCCAGTAAGTGCTACAAGCAGTTCTCCTCTATGCATTTTCCTCAGCTGCAAAGTCTTACGCTTGGTGGAGATTTCAATGAGAGTTTGGGGACCAACTTGCCTCACGGCCTTTTGAGTTTGACTCTGGGGGATAGGTATGACATGAGTTTGGAGGGTGTGACTTTGCCCAGCGCTTTGCAACACCTGACCTTTGGTGAGCAGTTCAATCAGACTTTGGAACCAATCTCTTTGCCAGAGACGTTAGTGACCTTGACCTTCGGCCGTGAGTTTAACCAAAGTTTGGATCAGGTGAGGTTGCCTCAGAGTTTGGAAGGAATGACTTTTGGCGATCACTTCAACCGATGTGTCGATGACATCACATGGCCCTGTCATTTGCAGGAGTTGATTTTTGGGAAAAGCTTTGATCATGAGTTGCACCTGACATTTCCCTCAAAGCTCAGAAGGTTGACCTTCGGATATTTCTTCAACAGCTCATTGGAAGGAATCGTTTGGCCCATGAGCTTGAAGAGCCTGACCTTTGGGGAAGTTTTCATCAACCCTTGGCACAGATAGTGCTACCTCCAAGCCTGAAGTCTTTGATTTTGGGGCGAGACTTTAATGAAGCCTTTCTTCAAGGCATGCCTTTGCCTGAAGAGCTCCAGGAGTTGACCTTCGGGGAAAAGTTCCAGCAGCCCTTGACAGGATTCTCTTTGCCCAGCAACTTGCGCAGCTTGACTTTTGGACCGGACTACAACCAGAGCTTGGAAGGGGTGATCTTCCCCAACAGCATCTTGGAACAGACGAACAGACATGACATCTCATGACTTTCAGGCGTCCAAAAGCAGTTGCTTGTGAAACGCACGGCCCCTCTTGTGTCAGGATGACGTCCGTGTTTTTGTCACCGACCGTCTCACAGTGCAGATCCCTATCTACTGCCACAACAGCTTGCCGCTCCGAAGGGACCGAAACAGCACGTCCCTGGTAATACTTCGTTCTGAAGCACCCCATCCTTTTCACATAAACACACACACTTGAGAAAGAGCTTGGAAGAGCACAATTCTGGGTGGTCCCAAGAGTGCATTGACACTTTAGAAGTATATATATATATACATAGTTATTGCATTTTCCCGATGAGGGCAGGTCGACCTGAGACCTGGAAACAAAGCGTGCACATGGCTGAACACAGGAAACTTGTTTCTGCATCATTCAATTGAACACTGTTGGTCCTCTGCGACTCAAATGCGCTCAAGAGCGACATAAAGCAGGTACAAGATATTGCGTCCAGTATCTCATCCAACCGAACACCAAAGCTTTGTTAGCATGGCTAGGTGAACGGTCGCTGTGCCCCCTTTCGACTTCTAAGCAGTGCCCCTGGGTTTGACACACTCTGACATTGGTTTGCTGTTAACTCAATTCCCAAGTTGAGAAGGAAGGTGATGGAACAGCAAGGCGAATGAGTCAGGTCACTTGAAGTGTTGAAAAAATGTTTCCCTCGCACGGCTGACTGTGACTCTCAGGCGGCTGAAAAATGCGGTGGGAAAACCTGTTTGGGGGAAGGAAAACATGAACCACCATGAATCAAATCAAAGGAGTGGACAGCGTGGTCAAAAGTTCATTGAGCAGGTACGTCCAGAAAGCGTCCTTTCTGGATTTCACGACTGGACTATCACTGTCTTCGTTGGGCAGTGAGTGATAGCGGTCCACTGCCCCCTGCTTATCAAGTTGAGAAATGACAGGTAGCACCCTTTGGAACAGGGGTTGACACACACACGGTGCCGCTTGGCGGCGCGTGCGTGGAAAGCCTGAATAGATACCTAAAAAGCCTTAGAAACAAAAGAAAGAAACACAGAAAGAGCAGCGCTAAGAGGGCAAGGGAGAAAGATAGGCGTAGAAAAAAAAGAAAAATGAATACTTAGCCCTTGACTGGGGTAGGGAAACGAGCCTCAAGAACAACCCAAAAAGCCTGAGAGAAAGCCCAACAAACGACAAAAAGCGCAAGAAGGAAAGGGGGGGGCAGGGAGGGGGTGTATGTCCATGTGTGTGTGTACGTGTGTGTGTCTGAATACTTAGCACTCTAGGGTTACTGACTACTTAGCAGAAACGAATTACAGTGCAATAGTTAGGGAGCGGGACTTTAGTCTTAAACCGCCCGGGTAGAGTAGACTAGAAAGGGACAACAGAGGGAAAGGCACCGACGCACAAGTGTGTCGAGTACCATTTCCCTGTGTTACCCTAATTAGGTAGGGAGTAGAACACGGTGGGGGGGTTGGGAAACCTGCCTCAAGTGGGGTGAATTCCGTTTTTAAGCCCGGCGGCTGTCATATCCGTAAAAGCCCGGCGGCTCTAAAGGCAGAGAACTCAGGGTTGTTGAGAACGTTCACGTGGATTCTGGTAGGTGAGATTTCCGGAAAGAAAGCAGTTACACGATTTCCGGAATGATGACAGCGCCTCCGTGTGGAGGATCACACCCAGCACCCAAGTGGGACGGCTGAGCGATTCACACTCTGACATTGGTTTGCTGTTGGCTCAATTCCCAAGTTGAGAAGGAAGGTGATGGAACAGCAAGGCGAATGAGTCAGGTCACTTGAAGTGTTGAAAAAATGTTTCCCTCGCACGGCTGACTGTGACTCTCAGGCGGCTGAAAAATGCGGTGGGAAAACCTGTTTGGGGGAAGGAAAACATGAACCACCATGAATCAAATCAAAGGAGTGGACAGCGTGGTCAAAAGTTCATTGAGCAGGTACGTCCAGAAAGCGTCCTTTCTGGATTTCACAACCGGACTATCACTGTCTTCGTTGGGCAGTGAGTGATAGCGGTCCACTGCCCCCTGCTTATCAAGTTGAGAAATGACAGGTAGCACCCTTTGGAACAGGGGTTGACACACACACACACCCACACACGAACCGCCCGTCCCAGCGTCGTAAAGCCTTTTTCACACGGGACGACTTCGTATTGCGACGACTTCGTGTTTCACCACAAGACCATGAGGTGAGGTTGACGACTGGTTTCCCAAAACAGCCCTCCTTTTCTTTGAGGAGCCGGTATCGACCAGATCCCGAACGAACGGAATCGGCCTATCCGGTGGCCACTGAACACAACCTACCCAGGATCCAAGTGCATCGCCTGTAAAGCCCTTTTGTGGGGATTGGTTTCCCCATGAAACAAAGCCAAACAAGGTTCGAAAGGTCAACCTTGACCAGTGAAACCGAGGGAGTCAGTACATCTACTGTCTACTGTAGTGTTTAACCTGTGTAGTGGCTGGGCTCTTTCTAAGGCCTCCAATGTCTCAGATTGGGCACTCTCTTCTCCTGGCCCTTGACCGACGCGGCTCTTTCATGGACCACTTTACAGCGATTGGAGTGCCAGGGTTTGGTCTTAAGCTCCGGTCCGAAGTGAGAGAAGCGGATGAGATCCATGGCAGGCTACTGACCTAGCTGCGCGCCGGAGGCTACTGGTCATGGGCAGATCTGAGACGAGAAGGCTTTTCGGAGCCTCGTGCATCTGGATCAGTCGTCGGATCTGTTCCAGTCGGATCTGTTTCCCAATTCTGGGACCATTTGGAACCTCTGAGTGGAGTGTTTTCGCTGTTGAGTTGGACGTGGGTGGCGTGGAAGCCCTCAGCTGGGATGCTGTGCCGATGACGAGTTGCTCCTTGGGCGCCCAAAGGGCGGAGGACTTTGGATCACACATGGGGAGATGAAAGATGCGCCACCGGCGATTGGCAGGTCGATCTATGAGAGCTGAGATGTATACATAGCGGAAGCATGCCTGATTGGTCTTTAATCGCTCTACTTGCTGTTCGAAAGAGTTGCAATCCGGTGTTTTTGCGACCAAACTTTCCCTGGTCGGCACTGTAGCACTTCTTTACCCGGAGACCAAGAAGACGAAGACGCAGCAAACACATTGCCACCGAAAAGAAACAGCGATTTGGACGGTTGGTCGCTTCAAAGCTGTCTGGGCATCTTCGAGTGCTGATTCGAACTCGCCCGGGCCATTTTGTTGCAGTACGAACTCTGCCGGCGGGTGATGTGGTGCCAGACGTCCAAGGTTCAGAACGACCCACCGAAACAGGCAGGCCACCTCTCTCAGCTCAGGCCACGTCACACGCAGCTGCTGCACTCTGCTTGCTGTCACGTGGCGGAGATGAGAGATGAAGCCCAGCCGGGCGAGCTTTGAGCGTGTGGGTGGCTGTGGTTGTACTCCCTCATTTGTGTTCTACAAAGAACTTGCTGAGTCGAACAAATTGTTTCGAATTGAGTCGAAAAGAAGCTGAGGACGGTGAGGATGAACGCATCCAACTTTTGGGCCCCTTCTTCTACTTCTTCTAGGTTGGAGGCCATCGCTAGTAGCTTGGAGGCCATCGCTAGTAGCTTGGAGGCCATCGCTAGTAGGTCGCTTAAAGTCTTCTTCTTCTTCTTTTTCTTCTTCTAGGTTGGAGGCCGTCGCTAGTAGCT